TGCCACTCTGTAACCAAAATTCGCCGATCAGGGGCCCCCAGAAAGCTAGGTTTGATCGCTAACACTTTATCTCTAATGGCAGGTATGATCTCGTCTATCTTTGCTTGATTCCATGACATATTTTCCAGGTTTATAAGATCACATACCAAAACCTGTTCTAGGTGACAAGGGGGAAGACCAATGGGAGATTCCTTGAACTTCGACGACAGCCAAGGGTCACTCCACACCTTTATTGCTTCTCCACTTCCAACGGCCCAGCCAAGATTTTTCACCAGTAAGGCCCTTTCTATTAGTATACTTCTCCATCCGTGAGAGGTGATTGTGGGGAAATTGCATTCTAGGAAGGTAGAGTCCACACAATATTTGCCTAGGAGAATTCTTGAGAGTAATCCGTCTGGTTTTTGCAAAAGTCTCCAAGCAAGCTTCGCCAACAAGGCATCATTAAAACAGTTTATATCTTTAAAACCCAAGCCTTCGGCAACTTTTGGTTTTGCCATCTTTTCCCATGTTATCCAGCTCGTCCCAGAATCTAGTAAGGACCGACTGAATTCTTTTACATAGAGACCGGGGTAGCTTAAAACAAGTCATCGCATAAGTAGGCATAGAGGCTAGGACACTTTTTAGCATAACCAACTTTCCTGCACAAGACAAGAGTTTTGATGACCAACTAACAGCTTTTTGCTTGATCCTGTCAACTATAGAGGAGAAGAGATCCTTCTTTGATCTTCCAAAGTGTTCATGCAGTCCCATGTACTTGTTCATTCCTCCCTTGGTCTCAATACACATACATTGAAAGATATATTCTTTCTTAGATTGAGGTTTTTTGGAAGAGAATGTAAATGAGGATTTTTGGAAGTTGATGAGTTGGCCTGAGCATGTTTCGTATTTTTTTAGCACCTTCTTCAAAGCTTTACAGCTTTTAATGTTTGCTTTACAGAAAAAAATGGTATCATCCGCGAACAAGAGATGATTCACACGAGGGCTTCCACGCGCCACTTTGATTCCCTGAAGTTTTTTCCTTTCTTGGACACGGAGGCACAGACCTGACAGGACCTCACTACAAAGGATAAAGAAGTAAGGGGATATAGGGTCTCTCTATCTTACTCCTCTTTGCGGTTTAATGTACCCTCTAGGACTTCCATTTATCAAAAAGGAATAGGACACCGTAGATATACACTGGATGATCCATTGAATGAACTTGCTGTTGAAACCCAATCTTAGCATGAATTTTTCTATGAAAATCCACTCCAATCTATCATATGCTTTACTCATGCTGGTTTTCACAGCCATAGAACATCTCTCTGAGGCTTTAGAAGTCTTTAAGAAGTGGAGGACTTCATGAGTGATTAAAACGTTATCTGAGATAGCTTGTTTAGGCACAAACGCTGATTGGTTCTCAGAAATGATGGAATCCAGGATATGTTACATTTTTGAGATAGCAACTTAGATATTATTTTATATTAAACATTGCATAGAGCAATGGGTCGATACTCAGCAACTTTTTTGTTCCTAGGAGTTTTGGTATCAGCCGGATGTGAGTCTCATTGATAGTTCGGGGCATACTTTCTGAGGAGAAAAATCCTTTTATTTACCGGATGATGTCTTCACTCACCACAGACCAGTTTAAGCGGAAGAAACAAGCCGAAAACACATCCTGCCCAAGAGCTTTATCTGGGTGAAAAGAGAACAGGGATTCCTTTATCTCACCTGCAGATGGTTCGCAAATCAGAGCTTGATTCATATCCGAAGTAATCAGAGGGGATAAAGCATCGTTAATGATCATATCATGAGCCTCCAGGTTTGATGTTTTTCATATAAAGATGCCTTTGAAATACTCTGATATGATTTTGACTATTTTGTCTTCATCAAAGCAGTCGATGTCATCACTATCTTCCAGCACTAAGAATTTGTTTATAGCATATCTCTTTCTTGATGAAGCATGGAAGAAACCAATATTCTGATCACCTAAGGAAAACCACAATTGCCGGCTCCGTTGCTTTCAGTAGGCCTCCTCTGTTTTATATGCTTCCTGGAGATTGCTTTTAAATGTTTGGATGAGGATCTCATTCAGATAATGGTCAGTGAGGACTTCCTCCATTAGCTGTTTTAGTTTGTCTATACGAACTTGACTGTTTTTATAGTGGTTCTTGTTCCAGGTTATGATGAGATGCCTGCATTGGTCTATTTTTTGTTTGACATTCTCATTCCTTCTCTCCGACCAATCTTTAGAGATGGTCTCCTTGACCTCCTCATTTTCCTTTAGGCTTCGATCATACTTGAATGCTTTATTTTTTTTTTTTCCTCTTAGGGTCTAGCACTGAGATGATGGGTCTATGATCGGATGCATCGTACCGGAGATACTCGCATCTGCTTGCCAAGAACAACTCTGACCAAGAGCTATTTGAGACAGCTCTATCCAGTCTGCATTGGATACTGTAAGTGCTTCTTGTACCTCTCCAAGATAAAGGGTTGCCTGAGTGGCATAGATCATATAGATCTCCTTCTGAGAAGAAAGTTCTCATATCATCAAAGGAGCTTTCAGTTCTAGAGGGTCCACATTCTTTCTCTGAATTGTTTAGTAAATCGTTAAAATCCCCAGTCAAGAACCATGGTGCGTCCTTCATGAGGGCTAAGTCGATTAGATAATCCCACATTTGTTTCTTCAGCTTCCGATCAGGATTTCCATAGATGAAAGTAGCGTAGAAAGGTTTGCCTTTGTAGATAATTTGAGTATCAATATAGTTATGACTGGCTGAAATTACATGCAGATTGACCTCCTGTTTCCACAAAAGACCAGACCTCCACCTCCAACACCATGAGGTGGAACTAAATAGTGAAAGGTAAAATTCAAATCTTCAACTTTTTTTAGCACAGTAGCATTGGGATTTTTTTGACTCTGAAAGGAAAATAACATCCGGATCTGCTTTCTGATTTTCCTTGAGTCTACGAACTGTCTCGGGATTTCCTAACCCTTGACAGTTCCATGCTATAAGTTTTAAGGAAGAGGAGGAGGCATATTCTGAAAATCCACCTACTTCCTTGATGCTGCTGTGCCTGATTTCTTGATTCTTGATGGACCCGGTTTATCCATCACAATGGCTTTTGCTTGAGTCTTTATAGAGTTTAGCTTGGATGCCGCATCCGAGATTTGAGTAAACTTGTCAAAACATAGGCTAGCACTCGTGATCCTTTTCTGAGGTGAGGGTTTCACTCTAGATACTTTCCTTTTCTTGACCCCTGGATCAGATAAAGGAACTCGACCATTAACATTTTTTCTCCCTGGGGGTCTTCCTGGTTTTCGTCTAACCAAGGGAGCCTCTAGTTCTATGTTTGCAGGTTGTGGGGCCGCCTTCTCTAAAGGTTCTTGACTGATTCGCAGAAAGACTGAAACTCGTTCCTGGGATCCACCAGGCGTGATATCCCTAGGGGGAGGAAGGGGTCCCAATCGCATAGTGGCTAAAGTGCATTCCTGTGATTTTTGCGGGGAGGATTCAGGCACTGAACGAGCCAAGGAGGCTCGTACCATTTGAGCTGCAGATTCAACGAGTTGGCCACTTTGTTCTGCAGCCCTGAATCTCTCCTTTCGGGCTGCGCTTTCGGAGGGGTCTACGCAGCTAGAATACTGGATCATGACCTCCCTTAATTCTCCCATCGTTTCTTGGATTGCCCCCGGAGGGAGGATAGCTTCTGGATCATGGGAAGATGCCTGATCAACTGACTAGACGTCGACCTGGTGAGATGTCTTTTCCTCTCTTAGTCTTTCTCGGTCCTGATTAAGTCTTAAGGATTGTGTAGGTTTTTCCACCCACATAGCTTAGGGATGTTTTCTGCTACTTCTTGAGAAGCTTTGCTGATTTGAGAATCTTGATATCCCCGAAGAGTGAGATCGATATTTTGCTTCATTGTGGTAAGGTCTGTAGTGGGTGTCCCTTCTTTCTCTTCGTTCTTTATAAGTGGCTTTTTCTTCTCAATGTCAATTATATAATTATTTTTTATATGGATGTATATGTTGAGTTATACATTGTTATATTAATTGCAAATTATGAACTCAAATTGAAATGTGTGTCTTACGGCTTTATTCATCTTTGTATCTTTATATTTTAAAAAGTTATATCTATTTATTTTTTACGATAGTGGTTAACTTTTCAAAAAAAATAATATTCACATATATCATTACCTTTTGTTATATGTATGTTAACTTATATATATTTAAAATAAGAGAAAATTAGAAATATAAGACACAAATTGGAGAACTTTGTCCCTTTAGTAATTTTTTTATAAAAAAATTGTTCCCTTAGTACTTATATTAATTATAATCCTCTTTTACCCCTTAAAAGAGAAGTATTTGATATTCATATATTGTTTTAACTATTACTAATTAAGATATTGAAATTGTTAAAAAAAAAAGTTTCCAAAGTAAAAAAACAAAAAAATAACTTAAGGGAAAAAAAAAGACCCCAACACTTCCTTCTTCTCATCGTCTTCTCCGTCATCGTCTTCTTCTCAATGTCACCCATGCAAATCAAAGCTTCTCCCTCGTATTTCTGAAAGACCAGTAATTCTAAGAAGTTTTCGTTCAAGTCTGTATCCAATTGTCTGCTTCTTCAATCTGTTTAATTGATTTTGGTTATTAGGGTTTTAAAACCCCTAATTAAATCTGGGTAGTTTCAATGCAGCCTGAGAAATTACCGGCGATAAGAAGAGAGATCTTTATCAGAGAAGCCTACGATGCTACACCTAGCTCCATCTCTATAGCTCTCAGTACCTAGCTCTGTCGCTGAAGCCTCCGAGAAGCTCTACAACTCTTCGACCGGCCACAAGTAAGTTGTTTTCCTCCCATGGGTCTCAATCGATTTGTCCTTTGGTTTATCTATTACAAAATGATAATATAATGTATGCCTTGTGACAATGTCAGTATGTTTATATTCAACTCTGAATTTGAAAAACCCTTTCTCACAACTCTGATGTATCCCTTGTGACAATGTCTGTATCATTTTCAGGAACTTGCGGAAAAAAATCTGGGAACTATATTTACACACAAGGACTTACTAGAATTAGTCTAAAGGTTAGAACAAAGAAAGTTTTTCCTCCTTTTCTTCTGATCAAAAAATATATGTTGTTTTGATCCACTCATATGAATCATCCTTGAAGAACTATTGAAAAACCAATACTGAAAAATTTGAATAGTTGTTTTAGTTTTGGTTCGGAAATTCTGACTTACAATTACGCTGATACCGTAAGAACCATTTGATTTTCTTTGTCTTTCCAGCTATGTTGTTTGAGCACATCGTTTGTCTGTTTGTAATTGTGTGTTTGTATAAAAATATTTATTGGTTTAAAGTACAGGGATAGTATTCTATGATTTTGGAAGTACATATGCATTATATTCCTTGTCCTACATGTGATGAACTTTGATTGGGTTAGATGTCTTTAATTATATATCTTGTTTGATGAGTTATTTCACTGAGCAAAATATTTTTATTTGCAGGTTCGCTGTTGAGCTGCAAACACCATCTTTCCCATTGATTGCCACTTACCCACCATTTTTTGTTTGTGCATCTGATTTTAAACCAAGGGTCGTTGACTTGATTAAACTAGGTAATCATTCTTTCTTAAGCTTTCTTGTTTGATGAGTTATTGTGATATTCATTAATTGTAGTACTTAGGTTAGAACGTACATCTTTGTCCTCATTTTCTTCTTGTTTTCGAAAATATGTTTTGTTTTGATACACTTATATGAATCAATCTTGAACAACTATTGGAAAACCAGGTGTTGAAAATTTGATTAGTTGTGTTACTTTTTGTTTCAGAAAATTTATTAGTTGTGTGATTGTAATTGTGTGTTACTTTCTTAAGCTTCACTTCTCGTTGGTTCATTTGTATATGCTGCTGCGGTTCATTATTTTTGATGCTATCTTTTATTTTGGTCTACTTATGAATAATCAACAACCAAGTAATAGTTTTTTTTGGTATACTTTGTAGGTATGAACTCCAACGAGTTACTGAAACTCCCGTTTCCGCCTGGAAGTGTGCCTACGATTGAAAAGATTATCAACTGATGTTTATTATCCATTCTAAGCAAGTTGGATGAAAAGCTGCCAGATGAGTACAAGAAGGTTTTGTAAAATCCTGTCTTCGGTCCGATTCTTAGGATTAATAAAAACTGAACTCAGCACTGTGGTCAACAATTCCAAAGTCCTCTAACACCATAGCTGTTAACTCTGCAAGAGTCGTACTTGATTCCAAAATTACTAATCGACCTCTTTTTTCTTTATCGACTGTAAAAACCCAATCCTTATTGAGAATCGATCTCCATATACCACAAATAACATAGATATGCACCATAATTGAATAACCAGAACAGAAACACAGAAAAATGTAATTAGGGTGAAGGAGCTCGTGATAATGTCGTCAAAGAGAATAAGAAAAGAAAAAAAAACTTCAAAAAAAATGTTAAAAACATGAAAAACAAAAAACAGAAAATAAAATAATTTCAAATATTTATTTTTTGTTGAATTACACCTGATCCTAGATTTTCTCATGTTTTGTTAACCGTTTAGTAGAATATGGATTCTATATTCACTAGAACGAAGAGAAATAAATAGAAATCTAATTCTAGAAAACATAGAATATATAACAATTTCTAAAATATATATTCTAAAATATGTAGAATATATTACGAATTCTAGATAACGTATTCTACACGGTGTTATAGAAAATAAAACAATGGTAAAATATGTATTCTAGATTCGGCGGATTTTATACCAAATAGTAGAAAAGAAATTCTATAAAACACTAGAAATGTAGAATAAGTTTTTTAGAACATATTAATAAATAAATTTTAAATATATGTATTTTCTTAAATGATGTTTTAGAATAATATTCTTTACTTTTTTGGAATTTTTAGAATTTAAAAGTATATATAAATATTTATTTCAAAAAATAAAAGTATTTAATAAGATTATTTTTGTCAGAAATTGCCAAAAAATTTTTAAAATACTAAAAGGACAATGTTATCCATTTTTTGTCCTATATTTCCAATTTTCCCTTGAAAGAATTGAGAGTTTAAAATATTTCTCCGGCAATTTCAAAACTCTCGAGAGCTTGCTCACGGGGAAGAAGATCCTTGCTCACGGGGAAGAAGATCCTTGTGGTTGATGATAATATAGTTAACCGGAGAGTAGCTGCAGAAGCTCTAAAGAAATTTGGAGCAGAAGTGGTTTGTGCAGAGAGTGGTCAAGTTGCTTTGAGTTTGCTTCAGATTCCTCACAGTTTCGATGCTTGCTTCATGGATATTCAAATGCCACAGATGGACGGGTAAGTAGAAAACTTTCTGCTGGTTCAAGTTCCGGTTTAATTCGGGTTGAGTCAGAGATGTTGATTGATTGATTGTTGTTCAGGTTTGAAGCGACGCGTCAGATAAGGAATATGGAGGAGGAAGCTAAAGAGAAGTTGAAGCTTGAATGGCATTTACCGATATTAGCCATGACTGCAGATGTGATCCACGCGACGTACGAGGAATGTTTGAAAAGTGGAATGGTTGGTTACGACTTTAAACCATTTGAAGAAGAGAATCTCTATAAGTCTGTTGCCAAATCATTCAAAGCTAACCCAATAATCTCAGATTCATCATCATGAACCAGCAGAAATGAACAAAAGATTGAGTAAGCAGCTTTTTCTCTGTTTATTAGATGATTTGTTTTTGTCTTCTTGTTTTTCTCTGCAGCCGGAAAATGTGACGGTGGATTCTGCTGATTGGGATAAATATATGCAATTTGGCTCGTGTACATATAGTTTATTACAAAATCCAGAGATTTTGAGAGTTTGGTTTTTACCAGTATATGTTGTTAAACGACGACGTGACGGTTCAGTGTTGAATCAATGTTGATAGTAAGTGCATCGGAGTCCCGGTTGTACCGAATCAGTTTTGGTTAGCCGTTGGTTTTTAATGACATATATACAGTACATCGTTACCTTCGTGTAAATTTTTGTAATTATTCTATGATGACAATTAAAAATTAGGATTAGTGATCATTTATTTTCAGGGAGCTGCTTCTCTAGCTCGAAGCTCAAAAGTAGTTAATGAAGATTTAACATCCATAGATTTAATATTCAACGAAATTCGGGTAAATACATACAAAACTCTTGCTTTTGTTTTTTATTGTCTGAGCTTTAGATAAAAGTAATATTTAAAAAAAAATTGGAATTAAAGGGATCATCATATTCATATCTCATTTTTGGGACAGCAACAAAAATGATAAAAAAAACTGATTATTCCATTTTACGGAAGCTTTATATACAACATATCAGTGTGTTCTACTTAAACTCGCAAAGCTTGAGGCTCTGCTGCTTCTCCAGCTTTCAGAAAAGCTGAAAATCAAATCCAAACACATAATTCTTTTTAATCTGTTGTGTCTTTGTCAATGTTTATGCATCTGTAAATTCTTGTTTTTTTAAGCTTGTTCCTGAAACCTCTTTTCCTGCTGAATGCAGTTTCCTGAATATTTCATATAGACATCAAAACACAAGAATGAATCACCAGAAGGAATATGCAAAAGAAGGTAGGTATATTCTCCTATAGATGATGATAAAAACTTTGACAAATCCATGTTCTTGAGATTTGTAAGCGGCTGAATGCAAAACCAAACAGCAGAGAGAAGACCATCAGATCAAAGAGAAAGTGTGCAGATTCAGATATATTCCAAATAAGTAAATACAATAACAAACCTGAGGTCCTTCCAAGAGCTTCTCAAGCTGGCTATTCTGAATATGGAGTTCGACAAGATTTTCTGGATAAAATCTCAAAGGAAGACTCTTTCTCGGGTATGCCTCCTAATGTAGTAACCTAAGACGTGGTGGAAACTCCATGTCTTCAGGTATGCACACTCTATTATTCTCATCATATTTTCTTCTATAGACCTTGATGGACGATTTGTGAATTAGGACGAGTCTTAAACATAATGCATCTCTTCTCTTCCAGGGCCAGAGTGGAAATCTACTGGTCAGGGTTGAGAGAGATAGTTGTCTATGATCACGACAGTGGCGTATTCATACGTCCGTCACTCCAGTTCGAAAAGTTTAAGCTAAGATCTTACAAAATTTACTCTCTAGCAATGTTTTGAATCGTTCGTACCCTTGAGAAAACTTCCCTGAACCCCAACGCTTTCTTCTCCATTGTTTTACACCGATTTTCTTTAAGCTTTAATTTAATATTGTCTTTCTTTTTTAGTTCATTTTCATTTAAGCATTAGAATATCCGTTTTTATCATTTTTAGTTATTTTCGTTAAGTTTAGTTATTACGCCATTTAATTTCCGTATTCTCTTTTAAGATTTCGTTTTTAGATTTTAAACACACTACCAAACCCCCACTAAACCGTTTTTGTTCTAGACTTCCTTACTTTAACTTATTTTCAAAGGCTTTTTGCAGGAAAAGATCCTCCTTCTCTGTGGATTCGATCCCTAAGTACTACAATCGATCAGCCGTGCACTTGCGGCTATTGATTTCAATTAGGGTAAAACTTGACAACCCTCGACACCACACATCAAGAACACCATCAGAAACCTATATGAATGTTAAGAGCTAGTTGACTGAAAGTTAGTTTTAAGTGTGTGAATTTTCGCATGACGTATTAACGGATTAGTTATGTTTGTATTTAGGTGAGAATTTTCTAGACTTGATCTGATCGATGCATTGTCCCTAACTAAGGTCTAGAAGTATGGTTACTGATATTTTTGAGTTCCCTATGATTTCTTTGATGATACTTTTCCAGTTTGGATTTTGGTTTGTTTGAGGACAAACAAAGTCTAAGTCTAGGGGAGTTTATAACACCGTATTTGTACCCATTTTCAACACTGATATCAAATGCTTTTTCAAAGGTTTTAATCAGTTTTAGGAACTTTTATTATGATTTCTCTATGTTTGTAGTTTCAAGGCTATTTTCAGGAAACTTAGGGAAAAAAATGACAAAATGGAAGAAATCCATATTTTTAGCTCAGAGTCAGACCGTCAGAAGTCCAGCCTCAAATAGACACCTTCTTACCGTCTGCTCTAGCTCAAATTTGGAGACATTTAAGAGAAAACAAGCAGATTTTCATAGCACTTTACATCAGGACAATCCAACGGTTCAATCAAAAGTTATCAGAAGATCAAGTTGACCAAATTCACCAGTCCCAGCAGATTCTCACCCGCGGAAAAGTGCATTCCACCTGCCCCGGAAGACTCTCACCCGTGGTAGACCTATGCCAAACCACAAGGCCCAACATCAAATCACATTTCGTCATTTCTCTGCAGAGAAGCCCTAAATGAGACCTGGAAGACCTTAGGACCTATAAATACATTTCTTAGCAGTTCTAATCGGGTGTGTGCTACTGTAGTAAGTTGTTGAGCCACCAAACTTTGTTTTATTAGGGTTAGGCGATGGAGAAGGGGATTCTTCCCTGGATCCATTTTTCTTTCTCCTGTTTATCGAATTAGCTTTTTTCATTTCATCTTACGCATTCTTTCATGTCTTTTATCATTTTTTGCATCATGTAAATTTGTCCCAGAGAGTCAAGTTTCTAAAGATTCATCGATATGAGTCCATGTTCGATTAGGATTTCTAAATTTCTAAACCATATTCTAGATCTCATTTCTTCTAAGTTGTTTATACCACATGAGGATAGATTCATGACCTATTCTCTGAGCTTAGGATCGATCAGAGCCACGAGATTGTCGTATCAGATCATCCGTACCTAGCTTCAGAAGAACATCGTCGCTACAGGAGTTGAAAGCTACCTGTAGAGAAGATGTGAGCAAATGAATTCAGTAGTAAATGCATGATCTTATTCCTGGCATGAGAGCGAAAGTTAATTGTCAGATTTAAATCGCAGCCTCTAAAGAGTTAAGTGAATCTCACACTTAAATCTTAAGAACAAGAATAATCTTTGCAAAGAACAACTTTGAAAGAAAACAAATACTTTGTATTAAAATTGATTGACAGGTGAGTTTTTAAAATGGACTATGAGGAGCTTATATAATGCTCTTACACGTTCTAAAATGCTAAAGACAAAGAAACAAATCAAAGCTAATAAAAACAACTAGCCGTTAGGCTCTTAATGAGAGAATCTCGGCCAAATATGAAAATGTGAGGACGCCTTTGTATCTGGACGGTTTTAGGGGATAAGTGAGCTTCGTT